CAATTATTTTTATGTGGGAATTCTCATACAAAATCACCGGGTGGCCAGTATGAACTAACTATTTAAAGAAATGTATTCAAATAATCAAAAGAATATATCGAATTTGTAAGAAGAAATTTGCTCACACATATTGGAAGTACCTTTAATAGAGTGCCCAGACTTGTCACGCTTAGAAGCTCAGTTAAGCTTGATAGAGCAGAAAATGAAGTCTGTCGATGACTCCTCTCTATTTGAGGGTGTCTTCTGTGTGCACACTTTAAGAGAGGATTTTGAGAGAAGTGCATCTGGGGCCGACATATTTGAATAAATCGAACTACGATTGGGAACATTTTTTCATTCGGGTAGTGGGTTTCGTCTTTGCTTAATATATGGAATATATTCAGTATATAGTATTTCATAAGTTATAATCTTAAAATCCATGCGAACCAAGTCGATATATTTACCAAAAAAAAAAAAAAAATAAGCAAAATTATGCAGAGAAAATTTGAAATAGAATAAAAAAAATTTTGAAATCATAGAAAAACGCACGAACCAAATTTATTTAATTTCACAAAAAAATAATGTGTTTTTTTAAAATTATTTATTTTCATAAAAAGAATAATTAATCTTTTTTTTTACAAGTTTATGCGTGGATTAATTTAATTTTTCTTCACTGCTTACAAATTTATGCATGCTTTAGAATACTGTTTGCAATTTACAGGTTGCTTAAGCTTTTTTATCTTTCCTTTTTTTATTATATATTGTATTTTGAAAGTAATTTTTATAAAATTATGTGGCGTTGATATGTATTTGCATTTTTATTTATTTTTTTATTTTTTATTTGTTTGTTATTTAGCAACTTTGAGCTCTTCTCTGCTGGTTATTCTCATAGATTTCTTTATTTTTATATTTGTTTATCAAAATGTGTGCTGGAAAATTAAAAAAAAATTGATATAAAAGTTTTTTTTTGGTTTTTAAATTAATTTTAATGACACATAAAATCAGCAAATATGCGATTTGAGGAATATGTTTTGGGAAAATATTAAAAATCTGCATTAAAATTATGAATTTTAAGTGGAAATCTTATTATATATAATACGAAAAAAATTTTTTTTTAAGAATAGTTAATGCAAAAAGTAAATAAAAAAAGCACACATTTTTAAATAAAAAAAAAATTACATGTTTTCAGCTATTTATTTTTAATATTTTTTTCTGGTCACCTTCTTGGACTGTCAAATTTGGTACATTACAAAGGTTTTTTTTTGCTCAATCTTCTTTTTTGCTTTCTTTCTTGCACAGTTAAGTTTAACACTATTCCCATTTATTGTTTTGAAGCAGTAAAGCTGTAAACAAATATATAGTGTTTGCCATATATTTGTTAATTCATTATAACTATTTTTATAATTTTTCTTTCGGGCTTTATACCTTGTAATATCATTATCCTGTCATTTTGCGCGCAAAAAATTATAAATTTCAAATAAATATTGTTTTATTATGGGCTTACATTTGTTTCTAGTGTTTTTTTGTTATTCATAAATTTTTTTTAATTTTCTTTTCTACTTAACAAAATCGTCTGCCATTTTCTATTAGCATTTTTTTTATTTTTAATATTATTAAAATGAAATTTTACTTTGTTATTTACATATATATATATATATATATATATAAATATATGTTATATATTTATTGTGTTTTAATTAAAAAAAAAGGCAGTCAAAACTTTATTTATACTTTTTTGTATTTCTCTTTGTTTTTGTTTTTATTTGACCTAATTTTTTTTTATTATACTTATATTTTAACGGGTTTTAGCTAAATTTTACTTAGAGATTTTACTATATGCTTTCTAGCTTAATTTAGAATGTGAACTGAACTTTTGTTGTTTGTGTATGAGTTGTTTTGGTTTGCAGCTTGTTTTTATAATTATTTATTTGGCTTGAATTTTAATTTTTAATTTTTATTCGTTTTTTTTATTTATTTTTTATTTTCATTTTCATTTTTATTTTTATTTATTTTTTATTTGGCTGCCCAGCGTTCATTGCTTTGTATTTAAATAAATTTAGCTATTCTTTTTCTTTCGTTTATTTATCACGTTCTTATGTTTATCTGTGTTCTAGTTTTTTGTTGTTTTTCAATATTGCAAAGCTTTCGACTATGTTTTTGGTCTTTTTTGCGCTCGTTTTGTATCTAATAATTCTTTTTTAAAGGATTTTATAACAAAATGATTAATAATAAATTAGTTAAAAGTATTTAATTATTAAATATAATGTTTTGTCTCAAGTTAAACTTTTTTTAATTTAAATAAAAAAATAATTAATATTAAATAAAAGTATTTAATAATTAAAGAAATTGTTTTGTCTCTAATCAAATATATTTTAATTTTAGCTAAAAAATAAATAATAATAAGTTTATTAAAAATTTTTAATAATTAAAAAATTTGTTTTGTCACCAAATACACTTATTAAAGTTTTATTTTTAAATAGATGAAATAAATTAAATTAAAATATTTAATAATGGTAGAATAGTAGAACTGCTTTTTTCTCTACTTAAATTTTATTAGGTTTCAATTGAATATTAATAATATTATTTACACAAAATTTAAAACTGATATTATATACGATTATTTGACAGTTTTCGGTTATTTGGAATTTTATTTTAATTATCGCAAATTTTCATATGTAACATTTTTAAAATAAAAAAAATTCGATCATACTCCACTGAACTGTTTCTAATTGCTTTAAGCTGATAGCTTTAAGCTTAACGGTCATATGTACAATATGTTATGCACATATATCTGTCTAATAACCAAACGCTTAATTTAGGATTAAAAAAAAATATACGGCATATTGGATTATATAAAAAACTAAGAAGGAGTTCTTAAGGCAAGAGACTTTGCGTTTTGAAACCAACTCTATGCAAAGATACTCTCAAATTATGATGAAAATCTTCTTCCATTTGACGGATGGCTTTTAGGAAGGAACTGACAACTTAATTTTTAAAGGTTCTATACGACCAGTGAATCTTAAATATCACTAAAAAAGCTAATTTAGATGGACAATCAGCAATTGTTTGGCTAAATAAAAGTGCCTTTCAAAACAAATAAAAAATATTTAATTAAACTTTTAATTTTTAAAATTATAAGTTACATATATTTTTTCCAATTGTTGCTGAATTTGGTTAAAATAAGTTAAAAACTGTCTGTATTTGTAAACAAAGATTTATTGAAGAAATGGTTACGACAACGTTTTTATAAAAAACGTGTATGTTTCAGTGAGAATTTTGAAAAATTGAAAAGTAAGTAAAAATTATATCGAAGAAAATATAAATATACTAATTTCATTAATTAATTTCATTAATTAATATTTAAATGACTAAAAGGAAAAATCATAGTATACCCTTTTCGCTTTTGATAACATTTCAAATTTAGCAGGATTGTATGCGAGCGATTGGCGGGTATATAAGAGCGAAGACATACACCGCAGGCAAGTTTCGCTGAAGTGATACACACTGTTGTTGAATTGTGTGTGTCTTTACAATAAAATAATTGTACGATAAATTTATTTGCTTTTATTTAGCATTATTGTGCTGGTAACCCTAGAAATTGGGAAATAATTGCTTTTTAATTAAAAAGGGGCGCAGTAATATAAATTTTACCTGCCAATGACAATATATTTTTATAGTAACAAAAACTTCAATAGCAGAAAATGAGCGTCATATTTGGATCACTTTTCGTATGCTGCTTGCGATTTGCTGACACACAATATATAACAATAACAATAATAACAATTTAGCCTAAATGTTATTATTGAGAGTTTCCTATTGGTTAGCTTTTGGAATTCATAAAAAAAAATATTTTCTTGAAATTCTAATAAATTTTCGTATGAAAAAATTAAATTTTTCGCAAAAAAATATTAGTGTTTTATACTAAATAAATTCTATTGTGCATTTTTGTATATTTTTCATAGACAATATGGTCATATCTTTCATCTATAAAATTATTTAAACTCATTTGAAAGTCAACGAGACTACGTACAACATTGGCGCAACCTTTTCATTACACGATTTGGATGTTGGCGTAACCTTCTTTTTCTTCTCCTATAAATCTTCATACAATCCAGAGAAATTAAAATTATAATTAAAATAAATTAATATTTATATTTTATTATTTTCAGTACAGAAATTTAACAAGAGATACTAAAAATCTTTAATAATAATTAAAGTTAAATTTTTTAAATAAAATAAATATTAATTTGAATAAAGATAGTTATAAATAAATATTTCTAAGCAAAAAAAAAAAAATAAGCATTTCGGAAATAATCATGCGTTTAAATATATTTATATTTATTTGAGTATTCAAACATATTATTTTTTGTATAAATCTATGCCTCTTTATTATTTAATTAATTAAAATATTCGCTCTCTCTCTCTCTCTCTCTCTCTTTCTAATATTTTAGTTTCACGCAAAACAAGTTAAGAGCTTTTATTATTGTATAAATAAATATTAAATATATTATGTAATTAAAGAAAGTATTCGTTCATACTTTTTTCATTTGTTTGTTTAATCAGTGCGTTAATTACATTAGTTGCATTCTTCTTCTGCTTCTTCATCGTTTTTAACTAAGTATTTATAAATATTTTTCTTTCTTAATCTTCGTGTGCTTTATTACACAATTGTCCCTTTTTTCTTTCTTAAAATTATAATATCATTAATGACTTTTTTTCTTTGTGTTTGTTTGTTTATTAATATTTATTTATTGATTTTTTTTTTATTAATAATGCTATGAAAATTTTGCGCTAATTAATTTTACTAATTCAATTTGACTAATTCGCTGTGAATATTTGTATGTGTATGTGTGTGTTTTTATGTTTGTTTTTTTTTTAAGTATATATGTATGCTTAGGTGAAAGTGTAAACATATGTGTGTGTACGAATATATGTATATGAGTGTGTATTTATTTTTTATTTATTTATTTCTTTTTAATTTTTGGTTTTTTGTTTCTTTTTTTTTAGTTCTCTAACCGATTTCCATTGCACTAATTTTTATGAAAATCCCTTATAGTGTACGAAGAAAAATATTAAAAAAATTGCGTAGGCGGTTGGAAATGTAATTCGAGCGATGACATCAATTGTTTTTGCTATACGTATAGGATGTGGCGGCTCCTTTTTGCGCACTTGGACGAAGCAAGTCTGTAAGAGAAGAATACTTTTAAATAAATATTTTAATATATACATAAATTTGTGAGATCTTTTTTTTTAACTCTTTACAGTGGTTTAAATTAAAGGGTGATTTTTTAGCTACAACATTTGCATGAAATAATCTGCAAACATTAAATTATATGGACTATCGATTCAAATAAAGATTTCATGCATTTTTTTGAATTTTACGTGTTTTTTTATTAAAAAAACTTGAAAAACTCTCCTATCCCTCTTGAAAAATCTCCCTTTATTAGAAATTTTTTTTTTTGGAAAAATTTAAGCGTGATTTAGATACAATAATATTGCTATTCCTCCCTGCTTATGGTTTTTTTGTTTATTCTTTTTAAACTGCTAGGTAGCTCCGTTTAAGGTTACAGAAAGCTAATTTATGTCGTCGAGATCACCGAGGAACTATAAGTTTGCTTAGTACCATTCAGGGTCGAGTCAACTTGATTCTATTACTGCATTTAGAACTTAGTTGTGCCAGAATTACTCGAATCTCATACGACATCTTGAGCTTTTCATGCACTCAAAGAGCTGATTGAATACTGTTGACTCCATTTACTCCGAAATGATTGCTGAAGTTATCGACTGACTCTCTGTGAATGACATTGAAAGCCTGCCGGTGATATGTCGCGCCGAGCGTTTCTAAAATGTGCTGCTCTGTACTTCCTTACTGAGCTGCCTTGAAGGTGGTTCTGTCTCAGTTCAGATGACTGCAAGAATGATCTCCGCGGTAGCAGTCCCAAGATCCAAGATCCAAGGGGTGTCAAAGGTTCGGGTTTTTTGAATATATCAAAAAAATGTATATTGTTTGGATAAAGGAGAGTGAGGACTAATTTCATAGGGATGATATTCGAAAGCTACCAGATGGATGGCAAAAGCAGACACTTTCGGTGAACACTATTTTGAATTATCCTAATTCAAACTTTCTTTTATTCTAAAGAATTTATTATTCTGCTCAATATATGTTTATCAAATGAACAAAAACTCTATACTTTATATGTACATATATATATAAATATATATATACTCTCTATTGGTAATCATGCAACTTGCCACATCATCAACGCCAGCAATTTTCGACTGCATTTTTTGGGTTTGTAGGTTAAATTCAGCATTGTAAATGCATGACGTCGATGCTTTTAGTGCGCACGAACTGAACGTGACCAAAATGTCTACTCTGCGTATGACTTTTCACGTTGTCATGTACGCGTGTGTGTGTGTGGACAGTTTTCATACATACTGCAAAATGATAATCCGATTTGATATTTTTGTGTTAAAAAACGATAAAGCGCGCAAGTCACCCGCTGGGACTTAATGTATTTTGAAAATTTCATTCAAAAAGCTACCATTAACGGTATAAAATGTTGGAAATTTAAATGAAAATTTCAAACGAAAACCAAAAAAAAAAAAGAACAGACGTTTACTTACAGCATAAAATAGTTTAAAAAAATTCTTATTTTAATAAACTTACATTACCGTTATTTTGAATTTTCGTAAAGTGTTTTTATTTTTTATTTTTTATTTCATAGAGTTTTTTTACCTCTGTTGCGCATCCATTGTTGGCCGAGTGTGTGCACGGGCTGCTGCTACCGCCGCATGTCGTACAGGCGACGATCTCGTTGGGAGCGCGTACATCGCGTCGCTTCTCACCCTGATAGATAGCGGTAAATTTGAAAAACTTTTTATGTTACAAATTTTGAATTTGGACAAATTGATTTTATTATTTTTTATTTTTTTTTTTATATTTATTATTATTTTAACAGAAAAACAGTCGAAAATATACCAAAATAATTTACATATATTAAAATTTCAAAGCAATTTGAAATTTTTTTTTTCACATTATTATTAAAAAATCATTCAAAAATTTACACAAAAAACGCACAAAACGTAGGAATCAAGTGGAACAGAGCAGCGAACGAGGAAATTAGGAGAAAAAAAAGGATTTGCTTAATTTAAAAAATATATTTATTAATACATACATATTTGTTTTTATATAATTAAATCGAAAAAAGGTCAAATGATCAAAGTTCAAAATAAGCAAATTAAGATGGAAATAATAAGATAAAAGCGCAAAAAATTTGCAAATAAAATTTATTTATATACAATTTCACTGAAAATAGTTCATTTCACTGAGTTGCGCCTAAAAGTAGACTAAAACACTCTTAAAAGGCTTAAGCGCAAACTACAACAACCAGTGTTTTAGAGATTTTTAACTATAAATATATATATACATATAGATATATATATATATTAACTATATATTAAATTCACAAACAATTTCGTATAAGAAAATTCTCCTTTTTCTTCATTGGCAGTGCCGAGTTTACACGTTCAAAGCCCTATCAACAAAAGCGAGCCATACGTTCCTTCTCTGTGCAGTTGGGAAACCCAAGTGAAACAAACCTCTACTCTGCTGTCCACCTGGTCCTTCCTCACCAATTTTTTGTAAATGTCTCTTGCATAACTCTTCAGCTCTCGGCCTCTATATCACTCCGCATGTGTTGTGGTCGATCGTTTCTCTCCACTGCAGTTTGACATTCCTCATAGCATGAGTTCTTTTCCTGGCACCGCCTTAAACCAACTGCTTACATATTTCAGAATTCTCAGAACATTCAATAGATGTATTAAGCTAAGCCTTCAGTCTAGTCTACTTTTAGTCAAACTCGTGCATACAATTTTTATATGTACATATGTTCCAACTTCTCTACACATACTTACCGGCTGTTCGAGGGCATAGCATAAGGCGGCAGCATACAAAAGATGAGAAATAGTGTGAATTGATAAACAAATATTTAGCAAATCATTTTATGTGTTTCGGTGCTGAATTTATGTAATTGCCAATTTATTTATTTATTTACTTTTTGATTTTAATTTTGCATTAAAATTGGAAACTGCATTTGTTATTTAAATACAACACTAATATGTATACAGGAATGTCGAATTCGAAATTAGTAACGATAAAACATTTCAACTAGAACTTTTTTAGGTATACGATTGTGAGTAGAAATGTTTGTGTATTTTATTTTTTTTTTAATAAATTGAAATGAGTTACAGTGGCGGTGATGATTAGTATGAAGGCATTAAATTGCGTTTCAAAATATATCATTTTTTTGCAACAATAAAATATTTATATTTTTTTTTAATTACCAATTTATTGATATTATTCATTATTAATATTTTTAAACTAATTTCTTTTACGTGAACTTGATGCAAAAAAAGCTTTGAAAAAAGCTTAAAAGCTTCTATATGTGTGACAAACGTTAGGTATGTATGATTAGATGAGAGTGGTTTTATGGTTTCCTTTTTAATAAAAATTAGTTGGCGGAATATGTATTTTGTATGTAGGTACGTTGTGGCGGAATGTGACATTATTATGTACTACATACATAGTGTATGTATAGATGTTATGTGTGGCGAAAAAAGTTTGCTCATTGCGGTTAATTCTTCACGCCAACTAATGCGTGGTTAAAGCTTTGTTGAAGGGCAAAAACAAAAACAGAAATTAAATAAAGTTAACCAAAAAAATGTGTTAGTAAACAGTTAAAGCATAAAAGCACTTAAAAGCTTAAAAAAATGTTGGAAAAAATGAATTTGAGGTAAAAAAATTCATTTAAAAGTAACTTAACATTTTCGTACATTAAAAAATTAATGAATTGGAAAAAATATATATTTACTAAAAAGCTAGTATTTACTTAAAACATTCATATACGTACGCCACTACACATCGCTAAATATATAATTTACTCTTACATATAGTGTTGACTAAGCGATTTATGCAATTTTCTACATTCCAACTCAAATGTAAATTCATTTATTTGATAGAAAAATTAAATTTCTTATAAACTTTGATAAAATCAAAACACGCTCTGTAATTAAATAAAACATAACAAATGCTAATTATTAAATATTTACGCAATTAAGGTAACTAATTCAGTGAAGCTACGCGTTAAATGTGAAATAGGGTTATAGTTGACGTTAAAACTCATCACCTTCCTGATGTAAACGTATAGTAATGTGAGTAATGTAAGAGCACATTATCTTCTTGATGTTTATATTTATCTTCCTGCTACAAATACTCCTTATCTGATGTAAAAGCACATTACCTCCCTGATAAAAAATCATATCATCTGCCTGACGTAAAAACTCATCATCTCCCTGATGTAAAGGTACATTAGCACCCTGATGTTATAACTCATTATCTTCATGATGTAAAAACTCATCATATTTCTGATGTAAAAGTACATCATCTCCCTGATGTACAAACTTATCTTCTTGATGTGAAAACTCATCATCGTCCTGATCAGCTCCCTGTTATAAAATCTCATCATCTGTCTGACGTAGAAACTCAAAAAACTCAAAAAGGTACATTATTTTCCTCATGTAAAATACGTTATTTGTAGTTAAATTCCTTTTTTTATTAGCAAAAACAGAGAAGAATAATTTCTGAAGCAATTTTTATAAAGGCAATAGTTATAATAAAAAAAATATTCAGATCATTATTTGTAAAGATGAGTTTATATGAAAGGTCAACCACTTGGACCCCAATTTGGTACAGGAAATACGAGAGTTGCTGAAAATACCACACAATGAAATTACAGAAAAAGCTGAAAGACGGATCAGGGTGAGACAGAATGCCTAAGGTCTTGCAAGCCGTCAAGACATAGGCAGTGCCAACGAATGAAAACACTACCAATTTCTGTTGACAAGGTCTCGGAAGGATTGCAGTTGATCATTAGTAGCAATGAAACAATTGCAGAGGAAAAGACATGAGTGAGACGTCTCAAATGTCTCCTCTGCTTCGGTCGGGCTTTATCTAGAACTCGCCTTAGGCATATGGGTACTTCGCAGTTCAAAGGAATAGTTGAAATAATAAAAATGTATATCAATGCACTCTTAAGCCTTGAAAAAGGCGTCAACGTGCTACACAACCTCAGTTTTAAAGCTCGAAATGAGCTCGATCTCCATCAAACATTACAAAGGATCAACCGAAGCAATCAGGCGGTATAACTTAACCTAACTTAAACAACGTACAAATAATAACAAAAGTTAAATTAGAGTTATTAGCATATCTGAAACCAGCATGGACAGCACGAAGATGATCGCACGATGCAGATCCATAATATGCAATTTTCCAGGTCTGGGAGCCGACTGAAGTAGAAATATGAGTTCATTCATAATCCAACCTTATAATAAGGAAACCCTGTATATATGTTCAGATATTCTGTGCTCGTCAAGGGTTCAATAGTTTACTCACAGTAAAACATGACTGCTGTGAGAGATAGTTCAAATGATGATGAATTAGTGGCTTTAAAGGATCCATATCCGTTTCAACCAGGCGTAACCATTGATGCGAAACGTTATTGAGTATAACTAATTGACTAATACGTTTGAGCTGCGTATTGCGTGTGAAACGGCCAGAGATGACCGAGGAGTAAGTTAAGCTGATTTTAAAAGACAACTCGACCCCACGTGGCTATATATAATATAATATAATAGGCCGCGTGTAGCCGCTGAAGCGGTTTTCGGACGATCTTCACCCTTCGCCCGTCTTCGAGCGGCTGATGGAGAAATTCACTTTTTGAGTATTTGAATTGCCTACTGACGGACGACCGCTTTTAGAAAAACTAATTTTCTATCATTTTGGATGTAGGTCGAATCAGTAACCGAGCTCTCACCTCAAGAATGGCAGTACGCTATTGCATTCACGTAGCTGCAACGGCCCAAAACTACCTAGAAACACCAAATTGAGGAGTCAGCATTCTTCAGATTTTGCCCTTTCCGATGCCAGACTTTTCCGACGGATCTAAAACAATTTGAGAATTTAGTGGCTCAGGTATTTTGAGGAAATCGAAAGAAAGCTCAATCCATGGATCAGGAATAGACTCATTTTTTAGAGATGGCATTTGAAGATTAAAACTGAGATGAATGGTGGTCCCTAATGATGTACAATATTTTGCATAATGTATTTTCGTTTAATGGAATAAAAACCGACACCAAAACGAACCCGAACACCAACAAATTGGCCAAATTGATTTGTGTTTTCGAGAGAAAAGTTTTGCCAACGAGGAGCTCTACAAGTTGTAGGAAAATATTGACATAGTTCATAGAATGAAGGTTATTTCGTCCATTTGAATGAAAGCGCTCGAGCTTTAAAAGTATCTGAAACAGTACCCATTGGTGGAAGTAAGGTAAGAGGAAGGCCTTCACTCTGTCGGAGAGATATCTGCTGGACAACGGCCTGGTTTCATTTGGTATTTCACTCTGGCGACGAAACAACGAAGAGCAGAGCCGAATGGTGCGCTATTGTTAATTCAGCTAAAATCGCGTTTGCGGTGCCCACGCTAATAAAGAAGAAGAAGAATAGTATATTAAACGTTTCTTAGGATATTCGGGTCAAATTTTCCAAAACCTTTGTAGGTTTTCTAAAACAATGTTAGAAAATTTGATGTTCTGTGACACAGCGACCGCTAGTATTGCAATTTTAACAAGTGTTCTGGGAAAAATGAACTTTACGCAGGAAAAAAATCTAGAGAGGAGTGCTACAGCTGAGAGTATTGAATACTCGGTTTTAAGCTGAAAATATGGAGTTCATTGCTTTGTTGAGTTTTTTGTATATTCAGTAGTTGACCTAGTGGAGCTTACTAAATGTGTCATTTTGCTGAACCAAGCAGCTTGAAAAGCTCGAATCTTAAAGCTTAAAGCTTGTTTCATAAAATCCTTCGAATTACATAACTTAAAGAATTAAAAAGGATCAAGTATTTTGCAAAGTTTGTCAATCAAGCGAGTCGTGATAAAAAAGCTGATATTATTGTCATTGGCTTACCTGCATCCATAAACAATTCTCTGTCGCTGGTGCGATAAACACATAACCTCAATTTTTATTTTACATTTTACATGTTTTTTGCTTTCATCCTTTGTTCAGAGGATAAGCACTTAATGCTGCTGCTTTACCGTCATTAGGGGCAACAATTGCTTTGTAGTTTTAGCTTTTGTTTTATGCCACAAATATACATACAAAACGACGAATGCTACATACAAACATATTTGTTAGGGCACAAAGGAATTAAATTATAGCTCAAACGATTCTTTATACTTTTTAATCTAAAATTTTTTTTTTAAACTTTTTTATGAGCAGAACAGCATTGCCTTACTGGCGGATTAGTGCTTAAATGCTACTAAAATCAAATTAATCCGACTTAACGCGGGAAATTCTTTTGGGTTAGTAGTAGAGTACTTGGGTGGGTTAAAACTTTAAGCAGCACAAGGCAGGCGAACACTTGACCTTTTTGTTATTTGGCAAAATTCTTAGTAAATAGTAAACTTACAGTTTCCGCTGTCATAGCGCCCAAGCCATGCCCGTTGGCGCCTTCCTGCGCCACCTGCTCGTAAAATGGCACCGGCGAATTGGAACGCGACGTTTTGCGTCGTGGTGGCTTCACTGGCAAATGACCGCTGGCATCGGCCACACCTGATGCATCCAACTGCTCTGTAGCCTCCTGTGTATCAACTGCTGCTGCTCTTGGCATTTCCAAATCAGTCGCAGACGTCGTCGCAGTCATCTCTTCGCTTTCCATCTGCTGCTTGCCGATACCGCTCAATATCAACGGCGGTGTATTCGTAGAGATGGAACGACGCTGCTGTAGTTGTTGCTGTGTTGGCGCTGGCGCTGGCAGTGTTGGCTCTACCTCAACAGTTACTGTAGTCTCATGTTGTGTGCTGGCCACATCAGCAACACCGGCGCCGTTCGCTACAAAGTTGGGCTCAGTGTAAACCGGTTCAACGACAGTTGACATTGTAGACGTAGGCGTACGGATACGTCCCGACTCGGTGTCCGCGTATGAGCTAGCCGCTGAAGCTGCCGAACCTGGTGAGCGTGTACGTCGACGTATGGAACGTGCACGTAAATTTTGCATTGCCACACCTATGATGCCGCCATGTTGTTCCTCCCAACGTATACGTGGAGCATCAACCGTACTGATACCGGTTGGCGGCGGTGAGGCTGGTGGTAGCGGTGTTTGTGCTGTTGATTGTGTTGTTGTCGATGTTGTTGTGAAGTCAGTGTGATAGGGATGCATCGGTGTGGGTGTGACTGGTATGCTGGTGCCGGTTGTTGTGCTGCCGGATGTACCCACTGTGGCCTTTTCAGACGACAAAGCAGCATGAAATTCTCGTTCGATTATACCCTACATTTTGGTACTATTACTTGGTACAGGTATATATATATACATATATAATTGGGATTTGGTTTTAAATGGTTGTTGTTGTTGTTTTTTTTTTTCATATAATTGATTGATGCATTGATTGATTGGTTGATTGATTGAGTGTCGAAATTTGAGCTCAATGACATACATACATAATAAAGCGGCTGCGATGGCTGCATGATTGGCAAGACACGCTGAAAACTGGGCAATAATGTTGGTGTAAATACATGTATATGTATGCGGTAAGGCGGCAGAGAGTGTGTGAGTTCAGAAGCAGCTCTTCGCGTGGGTTAAAAGGGTTTTATATATGTAAGTAGTTGAATAATTAGTCAGGCGCTGTTGTAGCTAAACATTCAGGTATGGTTATTGGAGGAACGCTGAGCTGTGGAGGTTACACCCATTGCAAGGTTTTTGGCACGAAATTTATACATTTATTCTTTTTTAATTTACGACAATATCTTTTGTAGTTTACGAGCGACAGCAAAGTGAAACATTCACATTCAAACAACAAGTACAACAATACTGGGCTATGTAGAGGAAAACACCATTGGGACATTAAAAATTTTGCAGGCATTACTTTTGGTTAATACTTTTTAACACATTTTATTATTACGCAGAGTTTTAATTTTTCGCCAGTTTCTTGGGCTTCAAAGTGAAAATTTTTTAGTAAAATTTAAAGTTTTAGTTAGAAACATAAGCTCTGAATAATGTTTTTTTTTTTATTGTTTTTGGTTTTTTGTTTTGGCTTACATGACTAATAAATTCATCAATAATCAAGAATCAATATACAGGGCGCTCCATCTCTTATGTCGGTATGTAAACGCTGAATAACTTTCACATTTACCAACCGAGCGATCGCATCAGATATATTTTGGAAACGTCAATTGACAAATTTTTTTGCCATGGATCGCTTCACACTGAAACAACGCTCTGAAATAGTAACACTTTACATCGAAAATATTCGTTCCATTGTGTTAAGGAGCACACCTAGTGTAATGGCCTAAAACATAAGGTGATTTTTGGGTATTTTTATTAAAAAAAAAATACTTCATCAATTATTTCAAATATTTTAGAATATATTAACAAATGTTTCAAGAATATACAGTGAAATTTTTGAAGAAAAAAAAATTAAATATTTTTTAAGTTATAGTCGATCACTAACGGCGCGAGAAAAAGGTCCGTCACTGCTGCAGTGATGAAATCTAAAAAAAAATTCTCTACTAGATTAAATTGTCTGTGCAATGACCTACGATAAAAAAATAAAAAATTGACAATATGCCGGCGTTTTAAAAAAATAGTCGAATTTAACCCAAAATTTTGGTCGCTTTTGGACTGCCGAAAATTTGATTTTTTTATCAGATCAACAATCGATAGGTCATTGTACGGAGCACTATATATAGAAAATGTAAAAAAATATCGATTGTAATCGGATCATTTGTTTTTGAGTAATCACTGTAGCAAATTTGGAAAATGCGGTTTAGAGAAAAACGCGTTTAAAGATAAAATGATCGTTTTCACTCGTAGCTAATGAGACTCTCTAGCTGCTGAGCGGCTGCTCTTTAAATTGCTATAACTGTGAAACTATTTGAGCTATCGATTTGAAATTTTAATATGTTATTTTTAAAGGTATAATCTACCGAAAAAAAGATCGTTTTTTTTTTGAAGTTTCACATTAGGTGTGCCCCTTAATTCAACGTGCGTATAGGAAAAATTATCGTGACAAAAATCTAATTTAGCCATCCCCCCACCCCGCGGACTTTTTTTGTGAGGTTATCTGAAAAACAGCTTCAATCTATTGAAGAGCCCAAGGCAAAAATTAGTGCTGAAATCGACGTTGTAACATCCGACATGCTCTGAAAGGTAAACGCAAAAAAAGGAGTCATTTGGATTGCCAAAAGCGGTAGCCACCTGATTGATATTGTTTTCAAAAACTAGTCCAAAACAATTGTAAGGAACCAAACTGAAAAAATACATCACTTTCAGAAATCGGTTGTTTATTTTTATCAAAGTTATTTAATGTTTACATACCGACATAAAAGATGGAGCATCCTGTACATATGTATATCAGCTTTACCCCATAAATTCAATTGGTGTTGTATATATGAAACATTTATATGTTTAATATTAAACTAGTGACGAATTAACCTAACCACTACTAGACTCACAAACTCGATTTTCTTTTAACTTCGTTTGAGACTATTTTGGTTACATTTGTTGCAGATGCAACTCTGTTCTGCAAAGAAATTTAGCGCCACCTGTCGGTCAAAGGTTAGATTTATGGAATAAAGGACCGCACTGATGGTTCATTTGACAGTTCACTTAAAATATATATACATACACATATACATATGTATAAAATAAGCAACTGCAGAAATTTATTGTTTGCTTGAAAGCCACTTTTGTTATTTTCCAACCAATACATCAAACATATTTTCGGGTTTTAATTCTACATCACCTTCCCTATCCCCATCAAGATTAAATATCGTTCTGCCTCATTAGAAGCAATAATAAAATGTTGGTTTGATAACTTCAAATGCAGCAGGAGAGGCATCTATGATGCAGAAAACAGTGGATGTGACAACGGAAAACGTAAAAAACCCACAAAATCGTTTTGAATGAGAGAAAAGTGAAATCGCTTAAGTTAGCTGACATCGCAAAGAAGCTGACACGAAATGAACTCATTGGCTTTATATTACGTGATCATTTGACTACGAGAAAGCTCTGTGCGAAGTAGGTGCTCCGCCGCTTTTGCTTACTGTTGACCAAAGTCAAAATGTGTTGATGATTCTGTGCAGCGTTTGGCCATGTTTCAACATAGCACAGCGCAATTTTCGCATTGATATGTAACAAAAGGGATGAAATATAGATTTATCACCTCAATATGGCATCAGAATGGACGTCAACTGAGCTGATAACAACTGGTGAATGTAGTACCAAGCGGCCGAAAGTACAACTATAGACTATAAGGAATACAGCCTTGATATTCAGTGTAGTAAAAAGCAATCCATTATTTTTCCAATAGATGGCATTATTTATCCGTATCTAGCATTGTATAAGTCCGATCGTTTTCTGCTAAAAGGCGTTAGAAAGATGACATTTCGTACTAAAAAAAGTGACAGTTTGGTGCTTGGCTGATTCAGCTTTTTTTGAGTGTACGTCCAAGATGGACATTAGCAATGAGAAAATACGCTATATTTTACAGTTTTTCTTCGATAAGGGCGAAAACGGTAGCCACGCGACTGAAAATGTGAAAAGCGCACATGATCCTGTTACAGTCAATCCTGCAAAATTTCGGTTTCATTCCGGTAATTTTTATGTGAAAGATACTTCACGGAGTGGAAGGCCAATTGTCGAAAATGTCGATAAAATCATGGACATTGTTGAGTTTGACCGTAATGTAAGCACTGTTTCAATTGCCCAAGAGCTAAAGGTTCGTGTAGTATTCATCGCCTATCTTCAGAATGTAATACCGTCAACAATGCATATTTACAATTTAATAGAATGTTTGAAAACAGAAATTGCAACTGCGTAAGGCAAAGAAAAGTTTATCAAAACATTGGCACACCTACATGATTGAACTTCGAATTTCCCACCCTTCCACAATATTATCTAGGTTTGCCTTCTAGCGACTATTAGTTGCTGGACTACAAACAAATTTTGAGTCAAAATATAATTCTTTCTTCAAAAGTGGCATTGAAATATTGCTATGACGCAGGAATGAATGAAGGTTACCGGTAGTTTTGAGATCATCAGCAGTTTGACATTGTGTGCTTCAAATTTTGAAAGGTTTTGGTTTGGTAATACCACTGGAATTATTGCCTTTTGTAGCAAAGCAATCCACTTAAATCGAGAAATGGACTCCGCCAGTTATTTTTGTCATTTATTTCGAGGTATGATCTTCTGGTGGCCGATTTAACCAAGGGAAAGGCAATATTGAATTATTTTTAATGCTATAGGTCAGAAATATTTCGAAAAAAAATTTCCAAAAAAGTAAATACGATCACAGCCCAGAGTTGAATATGAATTGATACATAACCCTATGAGCAGGTGGGAGGAATTTATAAATTTAAGATCCAGAGAATGCTGATTATGAGATCACTTTATGATCGGCAGCAGTATAAGATACTTCCGTAAGGAGAGATAGATAATGGACCTCCTTCGACGAACGAAAGCCAAACACTAAAAGTCTCTCATCATTCCCGTCCTACTATATGGTGCAGAAGCATGGACGATGACAACATCTAATGATTCGGCGTTAGGAATTTTCGAGGGAGAGATTTTGCATAAGACTTAGGCTGCAACTACCCATTTCACTCACCAGCCGTCCATAACTGACGACGTTAGTAGTGAAATACATACACGAGCTATCGACGCCGCTGAGAGCGGCGAAATGTTGCCAGCTGCCTGTGTGTTTGCACACTTTTGCACAAATTCATAATATTCGTCAACAAATTTCATAATTTATTTGCTTGAACATAAACACAAGGCAAATACACATAATCTATATAGTAACAAATAATTAGTTACGCATTTATTTTTCATTTCTTTTGAGCAAAACTACGCATTATTTTCGATTATTTAATGTTACTTTAAGAAAGGCTATACTGGCAACCTTGTATAACAACGAAAAATGAGCCGAGCCGGTTTTACGGAAAAATCAAAACTTCGTTGGTTTCTGCGACACAAACGTCAGCAACGCTATGGGAAATCGGTGACAACTTTGTGTTTACATGGCGCTCTCATAAGATAGGTTACTATGGACGGCTGGTACGCTCGTTGGGTAGTTGCAGCCTTATGGTCATTTAGGCTGCAACTACCCAACTCACTCTCCAGCCGTCCATAACTGACGACGTTAGTAGTGAAATACATACACGAGCTATCGACGCCGCTGAGAGCGGCGAAATGTTGCCAGCTGCCTGTGTGTTTGCACACTTTTGAACAAATTCATAATTTTCGTCAACGAATTTCATAATTTATTTGCTTTAACATAAACACAAGGCAAATATACATGATCTATATAGTAACAAATAATTAGTTACGCATTTAGTTTTCATTTCTTTTGAACAAAACTACGCATTATCTTCGATTATTTAATGTTACTTTAAGAAAGGCTATACTGGCAACCTTGTATAGCAACGAAAAATGAGCCGAGCCGGTTTTACGGAAAAATCAAAACTTCGTTGGTTTCTGCGACACAAACGTCAGCAACGCTATGGTAAATCGGTGACAACTTTGTGTTTACATGGCGCTCTCATAAGATAGGTTACTATGGACGGCTGGTACGCGCGTTGGGTAGTTGCAGCCTTACGCATTTTTAACGGCGAATATCGCAGACGATGGAACGATGAGCTGTACGAGATATACGGCGACATTGATATAGTTCAACGAATAAAAAAGCAGCGGCTTGGTCATGTGGCCCGAAAGGATGCGAATACTCCAGCTTTGAAAGTTTTCTGTGCAGTACCCACCGGTTGAAGCAGAGCAAGGGGGAGACCTCCACTTCTTTGAAAAGACCAAGTAGAGAAAGACCTGGCACCAAACAGCAAAAATAAAAAGAAACGAATGGCGCAATGTTTTTAAATCGGTTATTATTGTTTTAGCGGTGTCTACGCCAGTAAAGTAAGTATGTAGGGAGTGATTAAGCTTATTAGGATCCGAACATGTTAAGCCACCCATATATAGTGTAAATATGAGGTTACATTGTTATTAGACAATTAATTTTTATGCTATGAGCTGTTGAATCAAGCAACACCGGGAAGGTCAGTTTTGACCACAATGAAAAAGATGTCGTTGGCTTTCGGCGACTTTTCAATTAGTAGAAAAAAGTGTACAAGTGCCACAGTTTTTGTTTTTTTAACAAGTAAAGGAGTGCATGGATTTTATACAAAAAAATTTAAAGAATCGTCCTTAACGATGCGCGACTAAAAAATAAATAACACGAAGAAATGGTTGGAGTAGCTAATTCAACTATTTTTGAAATCTTACACAATCTTCTTGGCGTGATTAAGGCCAGCACAAAATAGGGGCCGAAATGTGCACTCGACTGCAAAAGGAACCAAAAGAACCGCTTACAAGAGCTGTGTTACGTTGTCTGTCCTACACAAGGTAGGTTTCGATATTTTGAATCACCAAACCTTCAATCCAGGCTTCGCATCGGATGCTTCTCATCTGTTTCCGAGAATGAAAAAAGACTTAGGGTTAAAAACTTTATCAACTTTGCTGAAGACAGGCAGGTGACTACGGCATACTTTGAAGATAAAGAAAAATTATTTAATATTTTATTTCCATCCCTTCTCCCCCATTTCGGAGCAAAAAAGCTCTATCGTAAGTTGCGAGAAAGTATTACTAGGGTATATAATATATTGAAGCTGTTATACCATAAGACCACGTCTAGTTCCATAGTCATAACCATAATTATATTTACTGTCATCGATTAGTGGGGCCGTAAACACGAACAGCTGACACCTGCGTACGCAAGTTCAATTGCAATATCAGCTGTGACGCCGAAAGTTATAGTTATCCACTATGGGCGTCATCATTTCTCAAAGTCATGGAAGAAATTCTTTAATTTTTCATCATCAAAAGCAGCAAATGAATAAAATATATATATAAAAATATTACAAAGCAGCAATCAGCTGGCTATGGCTACGGCGAAAACCCGAAATTCCATTTAGAATTATGGTTTTGGCAGTGACATTACGGTATGGCATCGGAAATCGGAAAGTTCACGGCATCAGCTGTTTTCTCAATTACGTCTTCCATAGGAATACAATACTTTCGTTTTAAATAATTCAAAAAAAAAAGATCAATAATATTGTTAAATCTACAATTTCGTTACTAATAATGAATTAAAGTCAATATTTACAGTGTAACTGTCTTACAGTACATAAAACATTTTGCTAGCGATTTCAATAATTTTTACCGATAATTTTTGAAGCGAGCTCCCGACGAGCTATAAATAACTCTTAAGTCATTATACAAATTTATTTACACTACGTGTACTAGTTACTATATTAAAAGCGTGTCATCGCAATACGCAAACTAAATTATGCAAACTGGAATTAATAAAGGCCTTTAAAGTAAAATTTGCAGCCAATTTTTAATAAAAAATAAAATAAATAAATTATTTTAATAAATAAAAAGCAATACTTGTCTAAAAACAAACACGAGTTAACTTATGATTGATGAAGAAACGGAAATTTATTTAATGCCAAAGCTTTGTAGAATACAAAATTTCTCTACAAATTTTTTTTAAATATATTATATTATATATTATAACAAATATATAGAGAAACTAATGGCTGAGAGGCACTTACTTGATGAGAAGAGTTTTTGAAACGTTTTAAAATTGAGTGTTTTGTAAAAGACCTGTATTGAGATTTATTTTGAATCAGCTTTAGATATGTATATGTAAATACAGGGTTGCATTTTCTGTGTACTTTAGTAATGCTTAGTAAATATTTGGTTTTTTTTTTTATTATTACTTCAAACATTTTTGCTACATTCTTTGAGGTTATCAGTTTTGTACGAAAATTGTTAACAGAAATGAAAAAAAAAATAAACAAAACATATTTCTAATAAATATACATATTGAAAAATAAATGCCGCTAGAAATATGGTACAAGCTAAAAAGCGTTCTTTCAGCAGTTTCGTCGAGGTTCTGAGTTGATTTTATGCGTTCCACAATTTCGTAGAATTTTTTTCAACACATTTATACAGTTAGCTTTTTTAATTTTCTTTAACGAAATACATAACATTTTTCCCAATTATAAGTGACCTTAAAGTGTGTTTTTCATCATACATTATACTGAAGGTAGGCGTGTCTACTATATTAATTTTTTCAATTAATTTTTATTTTTTCGTTTATAACCTATAAAATGCATTTTCTTCATATTAATGTGTGACACGAAAAGAAATTTAAGAAATTCAACAAATACGAACATTTTCAACTTCAATCAAAATAATTTCGAACAATTAGTTTGGTAAATAAAACAACAACGCCATAATTGAAAACAAAAATAAATCAACAGACAGAATCGAATATCGTAAAATCGAAAGCAAAAAAAAAAATTAAAAAAATAAATCGATATTGCAAAATGCAGCAATGCAAAATGCCAGGCTATAAAAAACGGTGAACTGTGTACAGGAAAAGAAGAAGAAGCGTTTAGCTGACATTGAAAGCGTGCAACTACATAGTGTGGGTGTTTAGAATGTTTAAAACCGAAGAATAAAATAAATAAAAAGAAAAAATGGAAAAAAACTGCATATATCTCTCGCAGTAGTGAACTCAAATGAGAATAATGAGCAATCAAGTGGGGTAGATATTAATTATTTGGGTTTTTTCTTTACATTTGTGAAATCAGTGGCGAAAATTACAAGCCGTTTCAGTGGATTGTGTTGTGGCGGAGATGGGATCGTTTCGATTTTGGCGGTAAAGGTCGGAATTTGGCAAAAGTGATATGCAAGTGAATAAGTGAGTAAAAGTGAGTGAGAGAGTGAATGAGTGCGTGAGTGCGTGAGCGGATAAGTAAGTGTCTAAGTGACAATTATGGCATATGAGCATAACTGCAGATGAAAGCATGCTGGAGCTGGATATGATGTTGTAGAATAATGATGAATTTTAATAATGTGAAAAATGTTGTTGCTGGCGCCATGAATGCTTATGAAACACTGAGTTTTGATGCTGCCTTGATGTTCGAGTGGTGTATGCTGAAAAATGTGGCGAGAGTGATGAAAACGATGTATGAGTTGAGTTGATGAGTTGATGAAAAGATGCTGATGGTATGCTTGCCGATAACAAAATTCATGATTTTGGCTGTATATTTTGTTACTTTTTTCATAGCTGTTGGTGAATGATGTAGCGCTTTAAGAGACAATTTAACTTTTTATTTTTGCCAAATACATATATACGAGATATAAAAGTATGTGGAATTGAATTTTTTAATTTTGGCAAACAAAGCAACAAATTTATTTTAAGAAATTTTGGGAATTTTTTAATTACTCTTTTTTTGTGGAATATTTCAAATCAATAATTTTTGTCAATCATTTTAAGCTCAAAGAAACGAAAGGTTTTTTTTCATTTGTTGATTTGTTTAATTTTTTCTAATTTGAATTGTGTGTATAGTGCATGAGTGTTTAATTTTTTGGTTTCTGAAACTTTATTCTTTAGTGTTTTGTTTTGTTTATTTTTTTTTGTTTTTCTTTTTTAAATATAGCTTACCAAAGGACTTGCAAGAATTACTCCAATCCTGCTTAGAACCGCTGGAAGACGCTGGAAAAATTTACACAAAATAATTCTAGTATCCATACTAAAACACACTTTAAGTTTGTTTTGTTTAAAATTGATTTTGAATTGAATTGAATTGAAAATTCGACATAAGTGAAATTTTTTTTATTTGGTTAAAATTTTTAAATGCATACAAAACTTTTCATTTGTTTATAAATATTTGTCAGTTTGTGCGCATTTTTAATGGGGAAAATATTTTTTATAAATTTTTGTTTTGTTTTTGTTTTGCCAAGCATACTGTTGCAAATGCAGTTTTTGCTTGCGATTTTGCGATTTTGCATTACTCAATATTCAATTGATATTTCATTTGATTATGTCATGTTGCGATTAATCACGAAAATTGGGAACAATGTTAGTTCTGTTTATACAAATTTTTTCAAAAAATTATTTTCATTTTATTAATTGGTTAGAATTGCGGGAGTTTTCGTTGCCTACATTGTGATTTTATGCTTCAAATTTTCATAAATTTTAAGCAGTGGCATCGAATTGTTTTGGGCTACATTTTTTTTTTTGGGAATTTCGATATACATTTGGTTAGAGACTTGTGTCAGTAGTTGCAGGGAAATTTGTAATTTAATAGAATTATAAAATTTGGCATGTGGTAACGACCTAACATCAAATTTTTTTCATATTTTTCTTTAATCTTTTTTAATTTTTCTACACAAAACATACCATTCATAACGTATTAAAATAAAAATCTCATTTCGATTGCGTTTTGCTAAGGGTTAAGGGTTATTTATACTCTTTTTTTGGCGGTTTGTTTTTCTAACATAACATTCATTTGGTTAATTTTCAAAATAAAGTTAAAGAAAACATTAAAAAATTAATACAAATTTAATGAAAGTAATTAGTAGTATAATATGAAATTTTAAACAACACATATAAATGGAATTTTGTAGGCCGAAAAAAATGTGTGAGTTATGCAAACATGACATTTTATTAGGAATTCGTACTAGACTGGCATGGCATCATTACATAAAATACACATAGAAATCAACAATTAAAATTTAAATCTAACAATTTTGGTTGAAGAAGTGTGTCGAGAGAATTTTGGAATCAGAATATGATAGTTTTAAAGCAAAACAGCTGAAAAAGTGATTTCGATTTTTTTCTTCTAATTGTACTGCTGTTTTAGTTTTAGAGCCGCTTTCTATTACTAAGTAACTTGCAGAACGGAAGATATTAAAACAAAAAAATTTTGATAATAGAAGTAAAATAAAGAGGGAAAATGGTAAAAGGTAACATAATGCCATGAAAAATGCGTACAGAGCAATCCTAATAGGTAAATAATAAAGAAGTCACACATTTGTATGAATAGTTGTCTATTGAACGTTTTTGTTTTTTGTTTATGTAGAAGTAAAGTGAAAGAAATTTTCGAAATAGAGCAACAGGCATTTGAAATTACATTTCAATATAAGGAAAAATAATATATTTATTTCGGAAAATGACGCCAAGTGTAATAGAAAAAAGTAGCAGAAAAAGGTAGTAGAAAAAAGTAGTAAAAAAAGTAGTAAAAAATAGTAGAAAAAGTTAGTAGAAAGAGGTAGTGGAAAAGGTAGTAGAAAAAGTTGTGGGAAAAGGTAGTAGAAAGAGGTAGTAGGAAATGGTCGTAAAAATAGCAGCAGAATAGTAGTAGGAAAATTAGTTGATTTTGCAAAACAAATGTTAAATAATAAAAAACAAGTGAAAATAAAAAAATGTTACTAGTAGTAAAAAAGGTAGGAAAAAGTAGTAACAAATAGTAGCAAATAGTAGTGAAAGGAAATGAACGCGGAAAAATCGTTTTAAAAACAGTAGAAAAAAAGGTAGTAAAACAGTAGTAGAGGTGTTTTTTTAGATAAGGGAAAAATGAAAAAAAAAAACATTTAAATGACAGAAAAATAAATGAAATAATTATTGTTGCACAGAGTAAAAATGGTTTTGTAAATTAGGTATTTTTTTTTTTTTTGAAAATACTGTTAATTGAATTTATTGAAATTTATTTTTCACACTTTTTTCTTTTTTTAAGATTTACTAAAATTTATAAGCACTTTTTACTACTCTAGTTTAATTTTCTTTAAATAATCTTTGCATTCTTGTTATTACTGTTAACACCTAGCATTTTTTCTAGTTTTTTATTAATAAATATTTTCACCAATAAAGTGTTAAAATTCTTAGCTAGCTTATGGGTTTCTTTTCACATACGCGCAATGTGGATTTCAATGTATGGATTAATGTGAGGGGGGCGGAAGGAGCAACAATAATATGTATGTATATGTTCATACAGTATGATTGAGCGAGAGAGAGAGAGAGAGAGATATAGAGCGAAAAAGACAGTAAGGACCGACAAACAATACATGTGGATGTGTGCGTGTGTATACAAGGACTGTCCGTGTATATGTGTTTGTGTATGTGTGTATATATGCAGTCGCATGTGTGTGATATTGTTGTATTACCTGTGTGACAGGATTCTCGCCTGGTCGATAAACAGCATTATGTTGTGGCCTCTTCCGGCCCATATAATTAACACATACGAACTCCAATAGCGAGGCATAGATGAAGCACATGCAGACGCCATCCCAAACATTCATTGCCGTTAGATTGGAGACGACGGGCAGTGTGCTGCGGAAACCGTTGGATGTTGTGAAAAAATTCAACATTGTTGTTACACCTAAATATTGGCAACGTTGATTCGATAAAAAAAAAAATTAAATAAAACGAAGAAAAAATTAGTAAATTGTATAAATAATTCTATTTTATTTCATTTTTTTTTTTGAAGAAGTGTAGGTATTCAGGGCGTGGAGGGGAATCATTAAGGTAAGGGATAAACAGTTTGTTTTTTTAGCATTATTATTCTGCATATCTTTTGGCATGAAGCATGTAGAGATCAGATTTAATTAGTGTAATGGAAATGGAGAGTTCAATTAATGAGTATTTCTTTTATTAGACAGCTTAAAGAAATAATTTAAAAAAATAAAATCGGCAACTGTACTGTTATTAGAAAAATGAACAAGCTGTTGATTTGTATGGTAGCTTCAATTCGAAATATTTTCAGGCATTCGTGGTTTATTTTAACTAAGCGAAATATTACAAAATTTAATCAGATAAAGTCAAATTATTTGTTAAAAAATGTATATACAAATAAATTTGAAAAAAATATGGCAAAATAACGCAAACTATCGAACAGCCAAAAAATATCAAAATTTTTGATATTGACCGTTTGCGGCTTAGGTTTTACGTAAAAATTAGTCCTAAATTATTACTGGAATATTTTTCAGCGCAAAAAAGATATTTAAAATATAAAATATTTACTACAGTAATCGAAGCATAAAAATCTTAAAAAGACTAAAAAATAAAACAAATAATATAAAAAATAAAAAACAAAATACTTTATTAGTATCAATAGTAAGACTCTCCTTTATAGAGTGATTATGTGGTGGCCAGCCACAAATAAATCCTCAATTCATGATTTTATTGGCATTTATATAAAGTCCTTAATATCTTGCCACTGGACTTGTTGATATATTGGCCGGTAGAAAAGCTGCAATGAAGAGCTCATAGCTTGGGACATTCTCTTATATCTTCTCTCTTACGGGTTACCGAACCATTGCCTTTCATTATCTTTCTTTGCTAAGATGTAGGCAACAGCATATAGCATATAGAAGCCAGCATTAAAGGATATAAATATTGTAGACATAAATATTTACAGTAACAGAAAGAGAGCAATAGCTGCGCTAGGCTAGCACACGTCTGAGAGCTTCAGATAAGATGACATAACAGATGGATAAATAGAACAGACTATCCCTTACATGAGTTCTATCTCAAGTGTACATTGAGAGAAACTGTCACGTGTATGAACTTGATAAACAAGGTACATCGAAGCAGATTCTCCTAGATAAAAACGTATTAGTTAGGAATTTATCCATGAACAGTTTGGGGTAAAGTAGATTATAATTAGGCAAATCTAGGCAAGTAGTGTACTCCTTCAAATGATTGAAAATGTTAAAGGCAATAGAAATTCTAATCAGTGGCACTCAATACTTTTGGATCATATTGCTGAACGCTTTGAGATAGCCAACGTGCGATCTGTGGATGATTTTAGTGATGGGAAAACGATGCCGGATGTTCAAAAATATATGTGGTCTTCTTCGGATGAACATTCTAACTTAACTTAAATAAAGTTAGGTACAATGACCTCACTGGTCCATAAACTGCAAACGCCAGAGTTACAAGTTGAGGATGAAGAGGCTTTGCAACAATAAATCTTGGGGCTTTCGAGCCTTAGATGCGATAGTTTTGCTTATTGACGCAGTCAACGAGGTGAAAATGGGCTTCTTCAGTCAAATTGATTTTTCGTTGAAATTTTTTTAATGAATTTTTATTATTTCAATGAGCGGTTGGAGCATGTATCGAACGAAGCGTAGTTTTTACTGGTCAATTGTACAAAAATGAAAGCTTCAAAAGTGACATCTACCGGAATAGTAGAGGGCTATACCCAACCTCTTATTGGAAAACTCTTTATTTAATTACATATGTATATATAAAAGGGAATTGACAAAAGCTCGGTCAGTTGGTGATTTTTAATTTGTTTTTGTTAAATCTAAATCTACCAAATCCTTTGCAATCACTTTATTAGTCTTCCTTTCAAATTTTGAAACGATCGGCTTAAATGAAGACGAGAAAATGGAAATAATAAATACGTAAAGAATTTTTTTTTATTTTTTTTTGAGGTCCTCTGACACGCTTTTCTGTATCAAAATCTACTTACTGAGTGCTTTAAATAATTAAATAAATTCCCTCTTCTTATCCCCATGCAATTTTATAGCAGCTGATGAACAAATCTGTAGCTGTTTAGTGTAAGAGGCAAGTGTAACCGCGACCAGTTTCGGGTTCCGGGCAGTCCGGAGTGTTACTGGTTTTCGGTCACCGGTCTGTTGGATTTTTCGATTTCCCTCAGACGCGGGAGGTGGGTAATGCTGAGCTCGTCGTTCAAAAAAATCAAATAAAATAAAATAAAATAAAATAAAAAAAAAAAAAAAAAAATACCGAGCTTTTGTTAATCCCTTCGTATTAAAAAAGTTTAAATAATTAAAAAAAATAGTAGCAGAAAAACTACTTTTTTCCTTTAATTACACTTTTTTAAATAATTTTTTTTTTAAATTTTTTTTATAGATATATGTAATATAATTTACTAAACTATTGAATTCTGCATATTCGAATTGACTTTACCATTTAGATAACCAGTTTGTTAAAATGAATTTGAGAATATTTATATGTATAAGCAATGAATGTGTATTCAGCCATTAAGCATGCCATAAATATGGAAAGTGCAGTTAAATTTGAAAATATGGTTAACAAATGGAATAACAATACAGTGTTAACTATTTGAAAACCCGATGAAATACTTTAAAACTGTGGTAATAAATATGTATGCATATATATATGTCTAATGTGTGACTAGAAAAAAATTATATTGTATATGCATTACATATAAAATATGTAAAAAGAATTTCGTTCAGTTAACTCTAGTTAAAGTTATTTGATACGCGTTTTCATTATACGATACTTTCTCACTTTTTTATTCAATAATTAAATAAATTATTATTATTATTTTAATGTCATGCACAAATATATATGTTTATTAAAATTTATTTACGTATAATTTATTTATTTTTATTTTTTCTTATTCACGATAATTTTCTGCCACAAAAACCGCCCACAATTTCATACAACTGTTGCTACATTTGTTTCCCGTCAACATCTTGTTTTGCTGCCTTCAACAATATGCATAACAAAGTAACGTAAATTTACGACTCGTAATCTATTGTATTTTCCATAGTTGATTCAACGAATGAGCTAACACTCATCTGCATCTTAATATTTATGCTCAATTTGAGTGCAAGCAATGGTTGTTGCATACCAGTGGCTGAGTGGATCAATGCGTTGTAACCCCCTCGCTTTTACAACCCATTAAGCTGCATTAGTGCGTGTGCGTGTGTGTGTGTGTGTGTTGACATCTTCTTTTATCTTACTTTGGGAATTTGTATGTTCCTCTTTGCATTGCTTTTGTTCTATTCTATTTAAGTAGTTCATCTGACTTTTTGTTTTGTCTCTTAGTTGTGATTGCTTTCAATCTGCTTGGAACTTACAATGGATTAAGGTGGTTTACATGCTTGTATCTTATATACATATATAATATATACCTAATGCCTTTTTTTATAGTTTTCACAAATGAAGTGATCGTTTTTAAGTTCTAAAACATTGTCTGTAGGTAAAAGGGTATTTTTTTATAATTTTTTTTTATTTTTTTTGTCAAAAAAAAAAAAAAAAAAAAACTCGTTGGTAAGGTTTATTCTCTCCTTAGGGGTCATCAAATTCCTAAAGCATGTTTTTCAAAGTTTGCTTTAGTCGGGATTTAAGCTCACGAGACTGATTTTTTTGAAAATTTCTTAGAAGAGAACAGGCTCTCCTCCTTATGTAGAAAATATCTGCCTTCCTAATAAGAACCACCTTAACAAAGACCATGAAATTAAGTCAAAGTTTATTAAGACGATATTCGCTTAGAGGAAAGATCAGTTATTGAGGAACCTCGTATCACCAAATGTCGCTATTTTTGATTCGGCTTTAATCGTATGGAAGCGGTACCCTTCGTCAATGAAGAGGAATAAGAAGAAAAACATTAGCTCAGAGGTAAGAATCCTACCTCTGTTCATTCTGCCTTTGCATTTTAGCGATTAATTTACTCCACTAAAACGAAATCAGATTCGACAGAGTCTAGAGCCAATACAGAAGAAAGAGGCAAGTTAGATCAGATTTTCTGTGAGACAACCGGATTAAGCGTATTAGGTGAACTATTTTTCACACGGTTCAAATCTGGCGAGAATTCCGAGCGTACAACACTGCGCCAGTTAAGGAAAACATTCAACACTACCCTGAACCTGGGTTGGCTTTGATGTGATTTTTTCAGTTTTACTCAGTTGAAAGACGTCATTTGGGATATAAAGCTAGTAAGTCTATGAGCTAATCACCGGTTTCAATGTGTTTTATGAGTGCGGCTTGGAAATGAAGATTCAAGCATACCACCAATGATCCCTACGATTTTAAGTAAGGGTAGGTTGGATTACATCAGCTTTCGGCAGTGTTCTAGATTGTCCTTTGCAGCGTCAGATGGAGGCTGAAATTAATTTGAAGTGAAGCAAACATCTCATCGTCTCTTTCTATGAAGTTTAAGAGCGTACTGATAACCAGTTTTGAAAGTTGTACTAGTTATCTGCATAGGAAAACTCCTGGCTGCATAAGACATCTTCTACACAAGATCAGCCAGAAATAGAGAAGCTCTTCCAGTCTCCCATTTTATGCCTGCCCACTCTGACTTGCTGCTTATGTGACTGCTAACAGGACATTCTGGTCGAATGTGACGCCAGTAGGTGGTAGTCTGTCCTTAGGTCTTGCTTGGTTACAATATATAGCCATCTATTTGAGTTGGGAAGACTATATGCCTAGTTAAAGACTTTATATATATGAGATCGATCTCTTGGTCGAAATTTCGAGAAGTAAAGTGGAGCTTACTTCGTCGAGATTTTAATTTCTATAAGACAACTGATGGTTATTTGGTTGAAAGCAGAGTTAGAAGACGCAAGCCATTCAGTAAACCTATTGGGCTGCATGAGA